AAATAGAGTACATCTTGATATTCTGACATAACTTGGATTGATCTTGACTGAGTTATGAATTTTGAATTTTACTCAAAAATAGGCAGAAACGGGATATTTCACCTAATGTACATTTTCACTAAGTTTTTGAAGCTGTTTAGAAAAACAAATATTGCCACGAAACTCAGCGTGGTCGATTACCCATAGCGCATACGTCTTTAAGACTACCAATAGTCACCGCATGCCAGTGCTGGGACTCGTAGGAAATCTCATACAACGCCCGAACCGCGGAAAATCAAGGTCTCAATTTACCCCATTTTGAACAGGACATCCCAGGCTATCGGTTCATGAGAAAAAAGCAATACAATCCTATTGGAAAATGTTTACAGACGGCATAGTTTTCCAAAGATCTCTTAGAAAACCTGTTTCAGAAAACTGTTATAAAAACAATTTTGGTTATGACAATATGCCCCCCAAGTTTCCTCTTTCCACTGGTGAAAATTGAAGCTCTCTAGCTCTTTTCTATCAAAAGATATTCAAAACACAACCAAGTGCATGGTGTTTTGACGCCGATAATAGAAAAATATTTTTCAGATCTGGAAAACAAAGTAGTGGTAGTTTGCTAATCCGTGTTTTGTGATACTCCTAGGTACACACGTTCGATAAATGATAAGAAAAAACCTAGGTGTTTACCTTTTGTTTCAGTCAAATTTTCTCACAAAAACGGTACTATTTTTATCAGAATCACTCAAGTATTCACTAACGTATGCTATACTCTCTAAAAAAAATGGCATTCGTAACGACTGTTTTTTAGAGAGTAAACGTAGTAATTAGAAGTCCACATACTCGAAGATAGTAAAAACAATCCGGCTGTTTTGTCTGGAAAAGTTGCGGGAAAGTGGACTAGTTGCTTAGAACCGGTCATTTATTCGACTCGACTAGATCACTTAGTCGCATTTGAGGCGAAAAATACGGTTTTTTTAGGGGACTTTATGCAAAATGACTAAATTTTTTCATAGAAAGAGAATCTTCATATTTAAGTTCTTATAACTGGATATACATATACTTATCGATATGCTCGAGGAAAAGTTAACACATATATTGTTCTACACGCTTCTGAAGGTAAAGAGTGACAGAAAATGAAGTATGATTCGATTTTCTATCATTCTGATATAATAAACTTCAGCGTGATCTTATCAGTCTCTCTCCTTTGAGCTGATCTTAGCTGAAAATGAAAAAAATGGAATCCGAAATCGAAAACATTAAGATAATTGTTTAAGTACATGCATGTGTACAGATAAGAATATATATGTTTCCAGGAAACATTTTTAAATTCATTCATCACGGATACTGAAATTCAAGTTCCTGGCTATTTTCTCTATGGGCAAGATGGGATAAATGAGGAAAGAAGACATCGGCTTCATGCTAATTCTCAAAAGTTTGAGACTATTTGCATTTCCCTTCTATGTTCGGCCGTCCCATTGCTAATTTTTAATTCATATGGGAGGTTGAGCTTTCGGTGCTTGTGCAGACTATTCATTGAGATCATTTCTAAAGGAAAACTATTACAACAAGAGTTCATTTTTTACCGGCAAACCTCCAAATGGTATCGTGTTTGAGAGGGTGGGAGACGATACGAGCCAAAATCGGCCCCCTCACAGATCAATCTTATATTAACCGATCTGACGTAGGTTTTGTCGGCGATTAATCCTAACATAATTTTAGACCTTAAAAGTCCTTTTCAGTGCTACTGGAAACAATTTTCGCATATAAAACTCTTCCCTCGTTAAATGAACTTTACTCAAAGTATTTTCATTATTCCATCTCTTTCACCAGAAGACAGTACTAACTATTATATACCGTTCGACAGAGACTTTTACGGGCTACAAAATACTATACACTTTCATTTTTGTTCCATTTGATCTTACACATTCATCCATAATATCATGTACACAAATTAATTGATAATTCTGTTGTAAGCGCGTTGTCGAATTATTTTCAGAATTATTATCTAATACTGATATGAATTTATAACAATGTATTTTAGGTAGAATACCATATACCATATAAAATGGCGTTTTACCTGTTGAATGACGTTGTCTAATTGTGCACACAAATAATCCTCGATCGACATACATATCCTATTTGTTAATGACATTATCATCAACAAAACTACCAAATAAATAATTAAATCTTTCTAATGTACCATTTGAATTTGAATGATTGGCTGATGCTTTACATCTAGTTATTTTAAATATGAATTTAATTTCTGGGTTGCAAAATTATTTACTCTGTCAGTAGTAATACCTAGCTCAACCGCTCAGTTCTAGGTTGGATTATATATTGTGAAACTAGCTCAACCGGGTCAGAAACCGACCTACCTAGTTTTGCTGCCCATTCCTAATTCGTTATTTTTGCATGGACTCTTGAAGAAAGCAAAAATATCCATTGCTGTTACTTTCTCGAATAATAATAGATAATAGCTCATCTATTACCGGGTCATCGAGCTCTGCTTACAACATGTATGACTAAGGTTATTTGAGTACAGATACAGTACGATAATTACGAATGCATTATTATGTGTAATGTATATGACAAACATAAGCCCAAAGTAAATCCTTTTTTTTCTAACTTTAGTCACACCTGGGACTATTTTCAATCATACTTAAAAATATGATACATATACATCAGGACGTATCTGTGTAACACAATCAGCATCAATTCAAAAATAAAAATGATGAATATTGTGCTTTCGTTGTGCATTGTTCTGCTTTTAGTAGTTGGTGTTTTCGGTGATGGTAACTGCACAGAGGGAACGCTTATCGACAACCAAAACTGCTTCAGATACGTTGGTATGAATGAATGCAAAGAATCAACGTACTTGAGTTATATGCCCGTCTGGAATGATTGCAAACCTGTGGAACTGTTTTGGGGTTCACCTGTCAACAATTTAACAATCATATTTCAAACAAACCTTACAACGGCGCATCAGTTTTGTCTAAGTGGTGGAGCATGCATCGATGATGGTATAATGTTGATAACCGACAAAGCCGAAGAAAAAGTTTCGCTTGGATGGTCGCCGGAATCTCGATGCTTTAAACGCAATGCAGGTGAAAATATGATTAAATTCAAGTTCATGGCCGGTGAAAAATGGCACTGCTACGGAACAACGATAAATTATAGTTATGAACAGTAAAGCTTTTCAATATATTTATTATTAAAATTTTGTGCCAATGAACGAGTTTTTCAAAACACTTGTTTCAGAAAAATATTTAGTTTCTTTGTATCAAAAAGACATTTAACGTCACTCAACTCAACACAATATTGAAAACTGCAGGTATCTGTATCTTTTTGTTCTTAAGTAATATGGTGGCGTCCATTCTTTTATTCGAGAGACAGTGGAATGGAACGCAAGTAAAGCTGATAGCACTTAATCATAAGATGTGGTTTAAATGAGAGAACATATTGGCCACAAAGTAAACCGAAATACTGATGATATTAGCTAGAAATATCTCTATCTTTTATCAATAGAAAGATTGTTAGAATTATCAAAACAAAGTTATAGTAAAATGCTGAATGTTGACTGAGCCATATGAAACGAATATTTATTTATTTTTGATATTTATATTAAGCCTAAATGTCATTCTTTTATGACTGAGAGTGTCCGCATTAGAGTTTCACAAAGAAATTTAATTACTATTAGTCTTGTAAAGTGAAGCAAAACTTTGTACTAATGAATTGATGATCTGTGCAGCATGTTCTACAAAACGCAAAAATTTCCGCCCTCAGCCTTCCCCTATTTGGACTGTTTCATCTTGGCTGTCTCTCCAGTGTCTCAAACTTCAGGTCAGATTTACTCTAACTACAATCAGGAGTGTATGGATGGAATAGTATACACCCCCATTTACTAGTTGAGGTACTAGCTTGAAGTTTTATTACAGAAACAACACAGATTTAAAAAATGAATGAAAGTGAATCAAAATTTATGAAAGTTAAATTACGCGACTAATTTACAGTTTTCAGCAGGAGTGCTTATAACTTTTGATGTACAAATGAATTTCTTTCAAAATTTAGCATCGTATATTACTATTGTACTAGTTGTGATCGACTGCACACGCTGTGACGCCCTTGCAGTTGTCTGATGATGACTAGTCCAAAGTTACGATAAGAAATTTAAAAAAAAATTGCCGCCTTTCTGATTCAGATCAACTAAGAGACCTTGTTCCACAGTATTTTAATCCAATTTGTAATTTACTATAAAGCGCGAAATATTATGCACAGAAAAAGTGGATTCATAGATAATCAACTATGATGCATCCATTGAGTATATTCTCGAGATCTTCAGAGGGCCTGTAGGAAACATTCATGGACCATCGAAAGATCTCCAGGAGATCTTCAGAAACCCTGTTAGGGTTTATTGTTATATGGAGCTCTAGCAAAATATTCAATTTTCTATTAATGCTCTCTTTCGAACATCAAATCTTAATGTTACCGTTAAAGTTTCTCCTAGAGATTTAAGGATTTTGGACGTATAGATTTGCCACTGGATCTGCCATAGTATGAGTCAATGTGTCTTAAAATGTTGAAATAATCTTTTCTTAAACTCTTCTCGCGTTACTATGACAAGTTTATTCTCATACTGGTTAACCACTTTGTGCTTCGTTGTCACCTCATACATGAATGTATTTCAGTTTATTTCAAAAGAAACAAACATACACAACAGAGAGAAATAAAAATATTGGCAAAGACGACGAACAAGTGTAAAGGAGTTTTCCGGATCCAGAAATTGTCTGATTTTTATTACTGACCATTCGAAAAATATTTGGATCCTACAGATCATCAGAGAGTTTAAAAATTAGAAAAACGGAGATGCGGGTGGAGTGTTTATCAGCTATTTTAGCCTTAGGATGAATTTCATTAGAATATAACCAACCATAAAGAGCTTTTCCTCGTGATTTGTTTTAAGATTTTCGAAATAAATAAATATAAGATCTTCTTGTTGAACAGTCTATTTTTTTTGGCGTCACGCAATGCATTTTAATGTAGTAGATGATGTGAAATTCTATAATAGAAGTTGTGGCTGACAAAGCCTCGCACGTATTCTGAAAGGTCTTGAAATCTTCTATCGACAAATGTAAGAATCGTATTTTGAGATCAAAAGAATGGCTAAAAAGAAGGTTCTTGTTTAAACCGATGTTAGGATTCATAACTGTTTAACATGATATGTATTTCATGGTTTTGGACTCAAATCTTTTTGTTTATGAATAGTCCTGTTAACGTTCTACACGCATATGTATATGGGAGCTAGTGTAAACCTGTATCACCCATTTGAGAATTAGGGGCTTTTGCCATGCTGAACCAAATTTGATGGATATAAGATGTTATATGCAGAATTTCGCAATGAATCCGACAGCGGGTTCCTTGTAAGTCTATTTTAACTACTTTTCTGATGTCGACACAATCGTTTTGCTTAAATTTTAATTCTGTCACTGATTAAAAAAAAAGTGACAATGTTCGAAATATGACAAGAGACAAAACGAGCATTTTAAAGCCGTTTTTGCACAATAAATGCTTAATTTTGGCTGGTAACTACCACTTATTCTTGTAATTATTAAAAACAAATGAGAGAAATTGAAGCAGAATATACGAAAATCTACCATGTTTCTACATGTTATTAAAGAAATATTTATTCAGTGCAATTGTAGTCTCATCAGTATGCAGTGTTCGGTAATAGTTTACTTATAAGTGCGAAATTTGATAAGCGCACACGTTTATAGTGTATAAGTTTTTTATCACTTATCCTGCATGTATTAACCTTGATGTTTGTCAAAAGATATATAAATTCTACATACTAAGAAGCTCCAACAGTTGTGAGAAAAGACAAAATGTACGCAGAAGTTTTATATCTGCTGTTGAGAATCGTAATAAAAACTTAAAAAATAATTCAAATAGCCCTATAGAATTTTCTCACATTGTCCTATCATCAGCATTGGATTAATATAAATAGTGAGTTTACTGTCATCACTGAACTGCTAGACAAAGTTAAAAATTCTTTAACTACTATAATTGCCAGTCTATGACTACAAACCTTTATATATTGCTGCATCAAGAACGACTAATGGACAAATCTAATTTTACTTCAGTATCAAATATTTCTACAGAAAATCGTTTATACACTGAATATTAACCGGCGTGTAATACTCAAAAATGACTTTAATCAATGCGCCTGCTTGGCTCAGTGGCAGAGCGTCGCTCTCGTAAAGCGAAGGTCACAGGTTCGATCCCTGTAGTAGGCAATAAATCTTTTTTTTTGTTTATCAGGCATGATTCCGTTCTTCAGAATATTATAGAACATATGTTACTATATAAATACAGAAGTTCGCTTTTGATTCTCTTTTTTTTCAAATTAATTCTCATTTAAAAGACATGCATTTACTTTCGATATAAGTTAGAAAGATCAAAGCACTTCTTTTCATGATTCAGACATAACGCTTCTGGTTCTGTCTCTAGGAAATAAATACACATAATGTTTCTTAAAACTAATGTATTTCTCCCGATGTTTACCTCTCTGTAACGACAAGCGAAAATGCTATTGGATCTTTTAGATCCAACCATATTCAGAAGTGAAAGAAATATACTATAACTCCCTAATGATATAGCTATATACTACTGGAAAAAAGCAATCAGATATACAGACAGGAACGTTATTTGGCAAATAAGTATAGCGAAGTGAAATATACGTCATTCTTAAACAAATGTCAGAATAACTTGAGGCAAAATGCGATCAGTTATAGCACAGCAGCGCTGACGAGAGATAGGGGTAGGTTAATTATATCCTTCTGACTTTCTGCTTATTGACCAGAGACAAGTATAAATACTTCTACTTAACGAAAATTACTTTATACTCTTACTTAAGTACATCTCAAGCACTTTGCAACACCGCTGACCTGTTTACCGTGGATACATAGTCAGATTCAACCTTTGGTCACTAAGACTCAGCCCCGTTTTCGCTCGCACCGACTCGGTGGTACAATTAATGTGACCATCTCTATTTACGTTTTGGATACATACTTTATTATTTTTAAGCATTCACTATGTTGTCACATACAGTCACGGTTTCAACGCCTTATTATCGACACGATTGAGATCAACATCGAATTCTAACTCCCTTCGTGAATATTCTAAATATTCCTTCTGAACATATTTTCTCACATCTGCTGCTGTTATCTGTAGCAAAACAAGAGTAACAATATACGGAAAGCTTAAAAATACTAAAATGCCTGCTCAAAACATAAATAGAGAGGGCCACTTTATCTGTACACCGAGTCAGTGCGAGTAAATCAATGACTAAGTCTTGCTGTGACCAGAAATTGAATTTGACTATCCGTCCAGCGGTAAACATGCGAATGGTACTAAAAAGTACTTAATTACAGATAAAAATATAAAAGTATCCCTGCACGGCGAAAAAGATCCGTGAAACTCATGACGGTTGTTATACGCAGTTTTTCACTGTCAGTTTTGCATGTTTTTTTCCTGGTTTTGGTTTTACATGTTTTTGTTTCCTATGTTTTAATATGACGGCTTTGCTTTGACGATTTTTAAAACGGGTAGAAAAACTGTCGAAGTAAAAGTGTGCAAGCAAAACCGTCTACTCTGAAAGGAAAGAAAAAAAGAGTAGCTTTTCAAGGAATCGAACCAGGGTCGCTTGACCAGTAGGAATTATAAGACGTTCTTTTATCCTGAAGTCTATCCGAAACTATGGACCTGATGAACTTACAGTAATAAGTCTTCGGACTGCACACTCTTCATGTTTCGGATAGACTTAAGGATAAAATTCAATACGTTACTGCGAACTTGTGATTAGTATTTTTAGGGAAGATATTCACTACACCTGCCGGTAATTTTGCAGTTCGAACTGTCGAACGGCGACAAATTCCACCTGCCTCTCTATTCCTAGAGATTATCGGCATCAGAGCGATTTCAAAATAGTCACAGCTTCAAAGAAAAAAGTTTTTGAAACGAGAAATTTTACAATACGGCATATTTTGCTAAAACATGCGCTGGAAGACGTCTTCTATTTCGAAACATGTGGTTGCACTACTTTGAATGCTTGTCGCCGGTTGGAGTCATCCATGTGTTTCGGATAACATTCCTCGTTTCCAAATTGAAAGTATCAATTCTACTCTTTTAAGAGAA